TTTTGGGATTTAAGGGGGAAAAGAACCGGATCCCCGGCATCGGCTGGAAAGGGGCCGGGGGACCGCGGGGGAACAATCGCGGGGCGAAGGACAAGGTGGTGCTGCGGGACCCCCCAGAGCAGCGCTGCATGGAAAGCCCAGTGTACTTGGGTTACCGTTTTTGGGAGGGAGATTTTACCCCGGCTACACTCGGGAATACCGCAAAGGGAGTTAAGGTCTCCTTCACTTAGGACCGCACCACGACTCTTTATCTCTTTTTTTAATCCCCTTTGGTTTTGTGAGATGCACTTTTATGTTTTTTAATAAACTGTGTTTCCCCGGGGTAATGCACAAAAAAAGTGGCCCTGTTTTTGTTTTTTTCTTCAGGGGAACTAGAGGCAGAAGGCTTGAGGATCGAAGAGAGCGGTTTGTTGGTATTTTGGGGCCCGGGGTTTGGTGATGTACTGGGGGCAGAGTTGTGCATGGCTTTGAAAGTTGCTAATCATCCTTTGATTTCTTAAGGTGCGCAAATTACCCATCCAACATCCAAACATAACTGAATAGTATCACTTTCTAATAAAAAACCTGATCGTAATTTCCCAGGACTTGAGATTTGAAAACTTGCATCCAGTTAAACAAAATCTTTAAAAATATCAATGTTTTGCAAAGAAAAAAAAAAGAATGAAAAAAGAAAAATCGTGTAACTTTAAAATTGAATACATTTACACATTTACAATGATTATATCCTCTTTTCTACCTTCAAGGGAAGTGTCAGAATGCCCACCCTAAGCTCACTGGCACGCTCTGCTAAAAACAACAAAAAAAAAAAATGTTAATAAAAATAAAAAACCATCAAGTTCTGGTCTGCCTTCCTTTCTGAAAACAACACACAATAAGACTAATAATAGCGGAATCATTTTCACAAACATGTCGAGGCAGAACTAATTTATGCTAACTACCATTTATTATTCATTTAAGCTCCCAGAACAGTGGGATAGTGTTACAAAGATTTGTGTTAAAATTGTTATTAGCTAATATTTATATATCTAAATGGCTACGTCTCCTTCTTCCTCAGCTTCACACCCATGTCCGCGGTGTGTAAAACAAAAACTTTTTTTTTATTTCTAAATGTAATTCTGGTAACTTGGAAAAAAAAAAAAAAAAAAGAGCCCTGTCGCTCTGTATCTACTGTGCTTGATCTGCTGACATTTTTAAGATCCTCTCATATTTTCCCTTATTGTAGCTTCTGGAAGAATATTTGATAATAGACAACAAGAAAAAAAAAAGGAACAATTTCAAAAGACTAACGTCTTCGTAAATATATGAATTCCAGAAGGATGATGTGTGGACAGGAACTTATTTAACAGGGGACCGTTTTTTTTTTGGACGTGAATACGGATTGCGTGTCAGAAGTCACATTCAACTGAAGTAATCAGATCAGCATTTGGTGAAAATAAGTGTTGGTTGCAAAATTATTGCAGCTTGAATAAAAATTTAGATGACAATAGAGGTGACAAATAGATTTTAAATGTTTGTTCCCTTGTTAAAGTGTTACTGATCCCCAGTGGCGTCCCTAGGCAGGTGCGGGGGGTGCGCACCGCACCGGGTGACACCTACCGCATGGAGTGACAACGGACCCACTCCATGAAAAGGTAAGTTGTAAAGCAAAGCCGACGATTCCCACAGGATGGATCGGATCCACCCCTACGGGTATAGTCGGCTTTCATTTCGTGGAGCGGGGTCTGATGTCACCCCGTATTGGTTGCATGCCAACGATCCCCACAGGATGGATCAGATCTGCGGATTGGGGAGCATAATGGTATCAGACTTTCGATCCATTATGCTCAGTCCACAGATCCGAACCATTCTGCGGGGATCGTCGGCATGCAACCTATACGGGGTGACACTGGACACGCTCCACGAAAAGGTAAGTTGTAAAGAAAGCCGACGATCCCCGCAGGATGGATCGGATCTGCGGATTGGAATCCGATCCATTATGCTCAATCCGCAGATCCGATCCATTCTGCGGGGAATTCGCATTGCGCATTTTGATCCGTTCGTAATTGGGGGGTCAACTTCTTCTGTTAAGAGGCAGAGTTTTTTCGTGTTGCTGACGGTGGATCCCCTATATTTCCTTGGCCAGATTGAAGTATATATGACGTTACAGATGTCCCTATGAACAGGGGCTTATTACATTCTTATTATATACTAATTGGACTTTTATTTCCATATGTTATAGATATCATATACTGTATATATATATCTATATATATATATATATATCTCATATCATATATATCATATACTCTTATGTCATGTATATTTCATGTATTGTTGCCTGCAATGCTGAGTAGGTTGCTTTATTGATTTTTTTAAAAAATTTTTTATAGTGGTTGATTGACTTGACCCCAATTATTTGCACATTTCAGAAGCATTTGATAAGAACATTTTATAGTCATTGCACCCAAAAAATTTTTTTCTTTTACTACTTAGCCATATAAACTGTAATGACTGCTGGGAAACATAAAAATGCAGGTATTACCCAAGGGCAGACTGACCATTTGGAAACTCTGGCACTGCCCGAGGGCCCCGGGGTCAGTAGGGGGCCCCATGAGATGCCCTAGTACCTTTTTCCTAGGCTTTTTTGATTTTGGGCAAGGACACAGGGGCCCCATGATCCCCTATTGCCCAGGGGCCCCATGAGTTGTCAGTCCGCCCCTGGTAGTACCCTATTATTGGTTTGCCGCCAGAAATAATTACCAACTCACATAGAAGCAGGGCCTTTTTTTTCAGCTGAAACTTGGAGGAGCTCAATTCCACCACCTCTGGCTCAGGTCTTCTGCTCCCTGCTCACCACTATCACCTGTAAACACAGAAGTCCGGCTTCTGTGTTTACAAGTGACAACATGTCTCCCAATGGCTACCATAGATCTGATCTCCTAAACGTCTCCCACTGGGAGCAGGATGGGGACAAGGGAGATGCAGGTGTAGTATGGATGTTAAAACCACCACTGCATGATCTCCTTGAACATGAGAGAGGTGGAGCCACCTACAGTGTGTCTGGTGGTACAACAGCCGGCTGGGTGCTTCGGCTTAATACAGCATGTCAGGGATCCCCTCCCGGCGCAGGGACTCGAGCACTGGTTCCGGGCCGGCCGCGGCGTTCGAGTTCGCGCATGCGCAGTAGAAGCCGCGGCCGCCCGCTGGGCACCAATGGCAGCGCAGGGCGGGATATTTAAACGACCCTGAGCTGTCATTCAGTGCCTTCTGGTCTTTCCTGCATCCTGAATCCTGTGAACCTGTACCCTGTAAGTTATTGACCCGGATTGTACCTGACCTTGCTGTTTCTCCTATTCTGACCCTTGCTTTGCCTGACCTCTCTCTCCTGAATGCCCCCTATTGGATTTGACCTGCTGTTGCTGACCTGGCGTGTGACCCGACCATTCTATGCCCGCTGCCTTGTACCTTGCCGCCCTCTCTGTTACCGACCCGGCCCGTCTGACCTTGCTCATCCATCCATCCATCCCGTGCAGCGGGGTCTTCTGACCTCCTCACATCAGACTCTTCCCCGTGGGAGCCCCTTGCGCATACTGCTACCACTGACGGGCGCACCCAGTAGCCACGACCTGGTCTCAGGGAGCTCCAAGTCCATCCCCACCATCAGGGGCTCTGGTGAACAAGCACCCTGGGACTTAGACTCCGTGCGCTGGGGACGCCTATTCAGTGGAGTGCTAGTAGTACCGCCGGGCGGTCCCTTACAGTACCAGAAGGCCATGACTGAGTCTAGAGGAGGTCCATCTCCGCTGGAGGAGATCTGCAGGCACCTGTCCAATTTGACTCAGACCGTATCGGCCCTGCAGGATAGATGTCAGCGGATTGAAACTCAATTCCAGGCCTGCACTATATCCGCTCCCGCCCCACAGGCCGCGGTCACCACATCCCCAGCTGTAGCAGCCCCTGTGCTGGTGTCTGGGGCATCCGCACCACTCCCGGCGGCCGACCCCCGAGTACCCTTACCGGAACGTTTTCACGGGGACCGCACACGTTTTAGATCATTCCGCGAGTCCTCCTGCCTCCTCTATTTTGAGCTACAACCCCGAACCTTCGTGACTGAATCCGTGAAGGTGGGGTTCGTCATCTCCCTCCTGCAGGGTGAACCCCAAGACTGGGCCCATCGATTACGGGGAAAAAACGACCCTCACCTCAGTTCGGTTGACAGTTTTTTTGATGCTATGGCCATCCTGTATGATGACCCACAGCGGGCAGCTTCTGCTGAAGCTACTCTGTACACGCTCCGGCAAGGCCGCCGAGCGGCGGAGGAGTACGCAGCTGATTTTAGGCGATGGATGGGGGATACTCGCTGGAACGAGTTCGCACTCCTGCATCAGTTCCGTATTGGCCTATCAGATGGCCTGAAAGACGAGCTCGCCGGGTGGAGGTACCTGAGACTTTAGAGGACTTAATAGCACTGACCATCAAAATTGACCGTAGACTGCGGGAACGCAGGTTTGAGAGGTCCGGCCAGGGTCATGGAAATCCCTGGGGATCATTTCAGGGTCCCAGTCAAACACCTAGGCCAGTCGTCCAAAACCGGCCACCTGGAGAACAACCCCGAACCCATGCAGCTCGGCCTGGCACGGCCTAAACTATCCCCAGAGGAACATCTGCGCAGACGATCCCAGAACCTGTGCCTCTATTGTGGCGAAGCTGGTCATATGGCGCGTTCCTGCCCGCAGAAACTGAGTAAGTGCACCTCTTCTTCCTTATCCATTGGCAATGTTGGTCCACCCCAATACTTAGTGGTACCCCTTTCCTTTCAGCTTCCAGAAAGGACCGTGGAAGTATCGGCCATAATTGACTCTGGGGCATGCAGCTGCTTCGTGGATATTAATTTTGCTCACCAGCAGGGTATTCCCCTTCAATTGAAACAGAAGGGGTTCAATATTTTTTTTGGCCGACGGTTCCCGAATAAAATCGGGAGTAGTGAACCAGGAAACCCCCTCCATCACCACTGTCATTGCCGGCCAGCACCAGGAATCCTCCGCCTGGATGCTATAGCTTCACCCCTCTTCCCAGTCATTCTGGGGCTCCCATGGTTACGGGCCCATAACCCCCAGATTGACTGGGCGACCGGAGTAATCACGTTCCCTTCCCCATACTGTCGGATATACTGCCGCACTTCGGGCCCGGGGGCCCCCCAAATCCTCCTGTGCTCTGAGGGGGAAGCGGAACTAAAACAAGTAATCCCTGCGGTCTACCATGGGTTTTTAGACGTGTTCAGCAAACGGGGAGCTGATACTCTACCCCCCCCCCCACCGCCCTTATGACTGCCCCATTGACCTGTTACCCGGCTCAGAAATTCCTTTTGGGCGAATCTTCCCCCTTTCAGAGCCCGAATTGGGGGCCCTAAAGGAATATATCGAGGACAGCCTCCAGAAGGGGTTCATCCGTCACTCCACCTCACCGGCGGGGGCGGGAATCTTCTTTGTTGAAAAGAAGGACAAAACCTTAAGGCCATGTATCGATTACAGGGAATTGAACAGGGTCACGATAAAAAACCGTTACCCACTACCATTAGTACCTGAGCTGTTCCAAAGCTTAAAGTCAGCAGTGGTTTTACCAAGCTGGATCTGAGGGGGGCGTACAACTTGATTCGCATAAGGGAGGGGGACGAGTGGAAGACGGCCTTCCGCACCCGCTTCGGTCATTTTGAATATCTGGTCATGCCGTTCGGGTTGTGCAATGCTCCGGCCACTTTTCAACACTTTGTAAACGATATTTTTAGGGACTTTCTGGACGTCTTCGTGATCGTTTATTTAGACGACATTCTGATTTTCTCCCCGTCTTTGGGGGAACACAGAATACATGTAGCAAAAGTATTGGGGCGGTTGCGGCAGCATGGGTTGTACGCCAAGGCAGAAAAATGTTGTTTTGAACAATCCAGCATTGCCTTCTTGGGCCTGATTATCTCCACCGCGGGGGTCGCGATGGATCCCCAGAAGGTCGCTGCAATACTGGATTGGCCTGAACCCACAGATAGGAAAGGCGTCCAACGATTCATCGGCTTTGCAAATTTTTACCGGAAGTTCATCAAGAACTTCTCGGGTCTGGTCTCCCCCCATTACTCAGCTAACCAAGCTGGGAACCCGATTCAGATGGACACCAGAAGCGCAGGGAGCTTTCGAAGTCTTAAAGAAGCTGTTCACTTCGGCACCCATTTTGGGTCACCCAGACGCCGCTCTGCCCTATATCGTGGAGGTAGATGCATCGGAGAATGCGGTAGGCTCCATCCTCTCCCAACGAAAAGGCACCAAGGAACTGCTCCACCCTGTAGCGTTCTTCTCACGGAAGCTGACCCCAGCGGAGAAGAACTATGATATCGGTGATCGAGAGCTACTAGCGATCAAAACGGCGTTAGAGGAATGGAGGTACCTGCTGGAAGGTGCGGTGCACCCCATCTTAATATTTACTGACCACAAGAACCTAGAGTATCTGAGAACCGCCAAGCGTCTACGCCCGCGACAGGCGAGATGGGCACTATTCTTTTCGAGATTCAACTTCCATATTACGTACCGGCCGGGATCAAAGAACACTAAGCCGGATGCGTTATCACGGATGTACGAAGACGCCAAGGAGACCCCAGTACCTGACACCATCCTGTCCTCGGGTAACTTCTTGGTCCTTCAGTCGGATCTTCGTTCCAGGCTAATGGAGGCATCCACAAACTTCTCTACCCCAGGCGGAGGGCCGCTCCGGAACAAGGGGGGACTCCTATGGAGGGATGACCGAATTGTGGTGCCGGAAGAAACCCGAACCCTGGTCTTGGGGCATTGCCACGACCACCCAATGGCGGGGCACTTTGGCCCAGAAAAGACCCTGGAACTTCTCCGACGCTCATTCTGGTGGCCAGACATGGCTAAGGATTGTAAAGGCTATGTCAGGTCCTGTGTCACCTGCCAGAAGAACAAGCCAGCAAGAAACAAGGTTTGGGGTCTGCTGCGACCCTTACCTATTCCTGAACGGCCTTGGCAAAAGATCTCACTAGACTTTATAGTCGAGCTTCCGCCATCCCGAGACCACACGGCAATCCTGGTAGTCGTGGACCGCTTGTCCCAAGATGGCCCACTTCATCCCGTTGAAGAAAACCCCCTCGGCGGCCGAGACCGCGCAAGTCTTCATTCGTGAGGTAGTCAGGTTGCATGGGGTCCCTGAAGACATTGTCTCGGACCGAGGGGTCCAGTTCACGTCCAGATTCTGGAGGGCACTGTGCAAAGCCCTGGACATCAAATTATCTCTCTCCTCTGCGTTCCACCCTCAAACTAACGGTCAAACCGAAAGGACCAATCAGACCTTGGAGCAATACTTAAGATGCTATACCTCGTTTACTCAAGATGACTGGCTGCCACTTCTTCCTTTAGCGGAATTTGCGTATAACAACGCCCGCCACTCAGCAACAGGGCAGTCCCCGTTCTTTGCCAACTATGGCTTTCACCCAGTCTTCCTCCCGGATTTGGTGTCGGAATGCCCAGTACCAGCAACACAAGATGTGGTAACGTTCTTCGCTGCGAACAATAAGAAGCTTCAAGTGGCCATCAGTCGGGCCCAGGAAGACTACAGGAAAGCATTCAACAGGAAACGGAGAGGAGATCTGGTATTGCGGCCTGGGGAGAAGGTTTGGCTGGCGACGTCCAATCTAAAGATGCTTTGCCCGTCAAAGAAATTGGGACCCAAATTTATAGGCCCCTTCTGCATTAAACGGATGGTTAACGAAGTAGCCTACGAACTCGCCCTCCCTGACACGCTCAAGATCCACCCGGTCTTTCATGTGTCCCTTCTGAAGCCTGTGGTCCCAGATGCCTTCCCTGACCGGGAATCTAGACCCCCGGAAGCGGTAACGGTCGAAGGAGAAGAAGAGTTTGAGGTTGAAACAATCCTGAAGTGTCGAAGGAGGGGAGGCCAGACCCAATTCCTTATCAAATGGAAGGGCTATGGTCCTGAGGACAATTCTTGGGAACCAGCCCATAATGTCCATGCACCCAGACTTGTCCGGAGGTTCTTTCGCGATCACCCGTGGTGGAGAGATCGGGTGGGCATCCGGAGGTTGCCCCGTAGGGGGGGGGCAATGTCAGGGATCCCCTCGATCCCCGCCGCGTTGGTCCCGGCGCAGGCGCAGTATGCCGCCCGGCGCAGGGACTCGAGCACTGGTTCCGGGCCGGCCGCGGCGTTCGAGTTCGCGCATGCGCAGTAGAAGCCGCGGCCGCCCGCTGGGCACCAATGGCAGCGCAGGGCGGGATATTTAAACGACCCTGAGCTGTCATTCAGTGCCTTCTGGTCTTTCCTGCATCCTGAATCCTGTGAACCTGTACCCTGTAAGTTATTGACCCGGATTGTACCTGACCTTGCTGTTTTCTCCTATTCTGACCCTTGCTTTGCCTGACCTCTCTCCTGAATGCCCCCTATTGGATTTGACCTGCTGTTGCTGACCTGGCGTGTGACCCGACCATTCTATGCCCGCTGCCTTGTACCTTGCCGCCCTCTCTGTTACCGACCCGGCCCGTCTGACCTTGCTCATCCATCCATCCATCCCGTGCAGCGGGGTCTTCTGACCTCCTCACAATCAGACTCTTCCCCGTGGGAGCCCCTTGCGCATACTGCTACCACTGACGGGCGCACCCAGTAGCCACGACCTGGTCTCAGGGAGCTCCAAGTCCATCCCCACCATCAGGGGCTCTGGTGAACAAGCACCCTGGGACTTAGACTCCGTGCGCTGGGGACGCCTATTCAGTGGAGTGCTAGTTTGAAAGGTGATGAGCAAACGTGATTCCTCCACCAAATAAATGATCAGCCTCTTACCAAAAATATTGATTTCACTTTCCAAAGATCAATACACGCTTGTGTACTCGTTCTCAGAGCTCATCTCACTGAGGTGTCTGTCTCACCGCCTCCTCGGCATAATGTGACAGACACCAGAAGGAATCTTCTTGTGCAATAAACAGATATTCCCTCCAGAGAAGATCAAAGAACCGCAATGGTGTTATATCGTAGAACAATTTTTTTTTTTAAATAAGCAGACACATATTCACATACATAAGAAGTATAGGAGCACATAAGAAACAGACACCAAAGCTTCGAGTATCAGCCAGGGGCGGACTGACAACTCATGGGGCCCCCGGGCAATAGGGGATCACGGGGCCCCTGTGTCCTTGCCCAAACTCAAAAAAGCCTATGAAAAAGGTACCAGGGGTATCTCATGTGGCCCCCTACTGACCCCAGGCCCTCGGGCAGTGACCAAGTTTCCAAATGGTCAGTCCGCCCCTGGTATCAGCATATATATGACATCACGGCTGGAGAGTATTGCTAGAGAGTTTTAATTCTTGGGAGGGTGCATGCGATCAGCACAGGACCAATCAGCACTGTCCAGACAAGGTCAGGGGTCCTGCAGTCTCATAGGACAATCAGAGGAGAATGAAAACTCCTCCTACAAGCTTTAACCAGTGCTCTGCTGGACACTGATAGAAGTTACAAGACTTCTCTACCTGCTGATGAGAAAAGATATTTAGCGGTTTATATTTACAAAAATTATTGCATTTCCATGTTTTGTGCTCTGCGGGACACCAGATATAGTGAACGCAGGGTCCTAGGAGACCAGATATAGTGAACGCAGGGTCCGGGGAGACCAGATATAGTGAATGCAGGGTCCGGGGAGACCAGATATAGTGAATGCAGGGTCCAGGGAGACCAGATATAGTGAATGCAGGGTGTGGGATACCAGATATAGTGAATGCAGGGTCCGGGGAGACCAGATATAGTGAATGCAGTGTCCAAGGAGACCAGATATAGTGAATGCAGGGTCCATGGAGACCAGTTATAGTGAACGCAGGGATCCAGGAGACCAGATATAGTGAACGCAGGGTCCGGGGAGACCAGATATAGTGAATGCAGGGTCCTTGGTTTAGTAACACTTTAAATCTTGTTTAAATCATAGTGGTAGATTGAGTTGAACCCCATTTTTTTTGCACATTTCAGAAGCATTTTATATGAGCATTTTATAGTCAATGCACCCAACATTGTTTTGTTATTTCCTACTATTTGGCCATATGAACTGTATGACTCCTGGGAAAATATAGGCATGCAGTAGTACCCTATTATAGGTTTTCCACCAGAAATAATTACCAACTCACATAGAAGCAGGGCTTTTTTCAGCTGAAACTTGGTGGAACTTCCACCACCTCTGGCTCAGGTCTTCTGCTCAACATGTTTCACCACCAATCAGCATTGTCAGGGGAATGGAGCACACAAGCATGCATTGATCTCTGGAAAGCGAGATCAATTTTTTTGGTAAGAGGCTGATCATTTATTTGGTGGAAGAATCACATTTGCTCACCACCTTTCAAGATTTGATTGAATATGGGAGAATACATGTTGGACTGAGCACTTTTTCACTTTTTATATGGCTGGTTTCATGTTTCTTTGCATAGAAGCAGGGCTTTTTTTCAGCTGAAACTTGGTGCAACTCAGTTCCACCACCTCTGGTTCAGGTCTTCTACTCCCTGCTCACCACTATCACTTGTCAGCACAGAAGTCTGGTTTTCATTTGTTAAAGTGTTACTAAACACAGGGTCCTGGGTTTAGTAACACTTTAACAAATGAATCCAAAACCAAAGGAATTTTTCTGTCTGGCACATCTCTAGTTAACAGGCTACTATCTTTATTAAACATATAAACTTCCTTTTCCATTCCTTCCTACAATCTCTTAAAGCTTGGAAAGGCAGAAATCATGTTTAATGATTTTTGTGTCAATACACAGAACTTAACAAATACACAACACCAGCTACAGAAATGAGGAATGCACATTGGCACTTGTCTGACTTGCTGCAGCTTTAAATGCACATGTAGCACTACCCCCTTAGGAGTTGCAATAGATTTGGGTCCCCCTATAGTCCTGCATGGCCAAGCAACATTCATTTTCCACAGACTTACATACTGGAGTCCAGGGGCGAACTGACAACTCATGGGGCCCCCGGGCAATAGGGGATCATGGGGCCCCTGTATCCTCTCCCACACTCAAACCACACCCAAACAAGCCTATGAAAGGTACCAGGGGCATCTCATGGGGCCCCTTACTGACCCCCCGGGCCCTCGGGCAATGCCCGACTTTCCAAATGGTCAGTCCACCCCTGCTGGAGTCAGTAATCATAATGGGTAGAACAGTGGCTAAATGGTCAGCAGCACTTCCCCCTAGCAGCACTAGGGCCATTGGTTCAAATCCCAACCACAGCACCATCTGCCTGGAGTTTGCATGTTCTCCCTGTGCCTGCATGTGTTTCCTCTGGGTACTCTGGTTTCCTCCCACACTCTAAAGACATAGTGGTAAGTTAATTGGATCCTGTCTAAATTGGCCCTAGTAAGTGTATGTATGAGTGTAAGTTAGGGACCTTAGATTGTACGCCCCTTGAGGGTTAGGGACTGATGTGAATGTACAATATATATGTAAAGCGCTGCGTAAACTGATAGCGCTATATAAGTGCCTTTAACATATTATCAGTGCTTGAGCTTGTTTTTGATGTTTTATTAAGAGGATTTTAATTTGGATGGGGTAAAGGGTGTATGGGATGCCCAATGGAACCGATACACTGAGGACAACAACTTCCTGGAACTATTTACAAGTCTCCACTGCAAAAACAGTCTCTTTTGGCGAGCTAGCCAGCATCTCCTGTAGTACCTACCCAGACCCCAGATAAACTCCTCTTCTTTACCCAGCTGTCTGGAGGTATCTCTGAGCAGGGGATCTGGTGCCTGTTAATTTAGCAAATTAGATAGCCCCAGTAGGTGGTGAATCTGGTTTCCCACTAGAGTGCTCCTTCCCCTATCTGGCCCAGGGTGCAGGCTTACTTACTCAGTCCTTCTCCTGTACTATCAGTGGGTCAGTGGCTGCTGCCAGGCCTTCTAGCTGGGCAGCTCCTTCCCTGCTACCCTGGTGGTCCTCACTCTGGGGGCCAGTGAGGGTCTGAGTTTTTGTGCTTCCTAGCTCCCCTGCCTGTAGTTGAACCCCTCTTTCCATCTGGGCCCCCAGGCACCTTCCTTCAGCTTCCTATTCTCTCTGTCTTCCACCCACACTCTCCTGCAGCTGAGCAGGTTCACTCACTTTTAAGGGTTGTCCTGGCCCCTTGCCAAGCCTCCTGTTGGGGATTGGCCAGGCTCCCTCAAAAGTGCAGTTCAGCCACTCCGCAGATCCACCCACTGCTTCTAGTCCTTTCTCTAAAGTTCTAGAGCAAGGGGAAATTCCAGAGGGCTGGTCTGCAGAGCCTCTCAGCTCTGACCATGATTTGAACCCTGCTTGCTATCACACCCAGGCTGATACTCAGCCCTCCTAGCTAACAATTGAGGTCTAGCTCCCCGTAGCTGACTGCACACACTATTCACGGTGTAGAGTTAAATCAGAGGAAGCATTTTCAGTACAGAATAGAAGCCTGCACAACAGTGCAATACCGAATGTAGGACTGGAGTTCAGCTTTAAATATTGCAGCAAAGAATGTTAACAATTTCTTAGAGCATAGTAATTAGTTTTTAATTTTAAATAGTGCTGGGCTAGTTCTTTTTTAACCTGGAGTTATGCTTTAAGTGAATGTATCAGTTCACTCATTTCTAAACAAGTGGCTGCTATCCATATTGTCATGCCATTGTCGGCCTCTTCTGGATGTCCTCAGATTGTCCCACACAGTGGAATGATAATGACAGTGTCATTGTATGAATAAATGATAAATAATTATGCTTGGAAGCCTTTTCTGCAGCACATGGCAGCGTTTTTCCTGGTTGACAGTCATAAATATTTTAATGATGAACAAATCTACAAGGGCAGTAGAACATTATGAAGCTCAAACATCATATAAATAGCTTGTAAATTATTTGATTCAAAACATGGGTTATGCGCTTTTATACGAGTCAAGGAATTCCAAGGTGACTTTTAATACCCAAGCTAATAGTTAAGGGATATGTCATTTAAAGGGCCAATAAACAGCAATAGCTATTGTTAAGTAAAAGAGCATTCAGAGATAACTAAGGGTGTTGCTTTGGGATTTTCAACTCCATTATCTCATCATATCATGTAACAAAGAACAAATTAACAAGACTTCATGGGTTGCAGGCAATGCTATAGATGCACACTGAGGAGCTTTAAAGGTACCTTTGACTTGATTATCTAGATCAGTGGTCTCCAAAATATGGCCCAGGGGCCAGATAAAAGCCCTTTGATTGCCTTCCTCTAGACCAGGGGTCTCCAAACTTTCTAAACAAAGGGCCAGTTCACTGTCCCTCAAAATTTAGGCGGGCCGGACTGTGGCCAGCAGGAGCAGAATATGTGGTATTAGGGAGGAATAAATTCCCATTATTGGTATCAGTGGGAGGAATAGTACCCCATCATTGGTATCAGTGGGCAGAATAGTGCCCCATCACTGGTGTCAGTAGGAGGAATAGTGCCCCGTTGTTGGTGTCAGTAGAAGGAATAGTGCCCCATCATTGGTGTCAGTAGGAAAAATAGTGCCCCATCGTTGGTGTCAGTAGGAGGAAGAGTTCCCCATCATTGGTGTCAGTGTAAGGAATAGTGCCCCATCATTGGTATCAGTGGGAGGAATAGTGCCCCCATCATTGGTGTCAGTGGGAGGAATAGTGCCCCATCATTGGGGTGTCAGTGGGAGGAATAGAGGCCCATCATTGATGTGAGTGGGAGAAATAGGGCCCCGTTGTCAGCATCAGTGGCAGTAAACTATGCCCCACTGTTGCTGACAGTGGGGGAAATAAGGGCCCAAGGGCCAGGTATAAGCAGGGAAAGGGCCACATCCAGCCCCCCTGGCTGCAGTTTGGAGGCCTCTAGACCTTGGGGCACTCTTCCTCTCACTGATATGAGATACTATTCCTCCCAACTAACGGTAACTATGGGGCACTATTTTTCCTACTGACACCAGTAATGGTCGGTACTATTGTTCCTACAGACACCAATAATGTGTAGGTACTATTTTTCCTACTGACACCAATGGTGGGGCACTATTCTTCCTACTAAAACAATGATGAGGTGTGTTTTCTTTCCACTGACACCAATGATGAGGATACTATTCCTCCCACTGACACTAAACTATAGGGCACTATTTTTTCCTACTGACACCAGGTAATGTTGGGTACCATTCTTCCTACTGACAGCTATAATGGGGTACTATTCTTTCTACTGACACTAATGATGGGGCATAGTCTTCCTACTGACACCACTGATGGGTTGCTAATTCTCCCCACTACCAATGATTAGGTATTATTCCTCCCACTGACACATAATGACGGGGCCACTTATTCTTTCTACTGACAGCAATGGACGGGGTA